ACCTTCCATTGTTCTTTGATAGTAACCTGAAATCTAATTTTTGACTTTGCCCTAACACTTTTGTACAATACTGTATATGTTTGACTTGTTTTAATATATTATTTTAAAACAAGTGGACTATGTGCTGTTTGTTAATTGTTGAAAATTATTGCAAACAAGTCACAGACACCTACTGTAAAGGATCCGGCTCATACATAAAACCTGACAAGCTAGATGCTAGAGGAGTTATCTATCAGAAATATTCAGTTTTGGAAAATGTTATCTTTCATCTACCTTGAGCAATCTTTTTATCTTATTCGATATGGATAAAATATGGTATGAATAACTTACTTATATGTTGGAAGAAAATGAGGGGATGAGAGTGTTGTAAACCAAAACTTCAAAAATAAGGACTATCCTAATGTGCTTGTTAAACAAAAGCAATAACATATGTACAAAATCATTTTCAGCCATAGGAGTTCTTACTATTTATTAGTTAATAGTATTTACATATGTCATGATGTTTCCTCTTCCAAAACAAAATATAAAATAGCTATAGTTAAAAATTGCTCATTGAAACCTTTTATAATACTTTTATATGAAAAGCTGATGTAATTTAAAATTAAGGTTGTAAACAACAAAAGTTTTCTTTTTCTGAAGTTGAATGTCTATGATATTCGCCATTAAGGTAAAACACTTTTTTGTTTTTATCAATAGAGTTGGTACTTCTATTATGGGGATCGTGAGCATCTTGTATATCTGACCCTATATCCTCTGGTTTGCACAGTTTTCAGTTTGGGATTAGCAATTGGGGTTGTTATTGCTGTAGGGGGACTTTTTCTTATTCAGGTGAGCAAGTGTTAATAACTGACTTCTCTGTTTTTTGTTAGACTAAAATTACTTATTTTTAATTACCAAGAAAATGCAAAGTGCACCTTATTGGAATCATTCTTTAAATATGTGAATTTAGATTATTAGATTTCTTTAACCATTTCAGTGGATACATAGCTGTTTTTTATTTTTGGAAATTAGATTTATATCAATAATGAAAGGATATTATATGTAAAGTTTTATATTTTATTTCATTTGCTAAGGATGTAATTGAAATATTTTAACAAGAAATATCTCTCAAACTTTGTTAAACTTAAAATATTCAGTGTAGATATTTCAGAAATGTGGCAAGTATTTAACATAAATCATTTTGATTGGTAAAAGTTCAACAGATAGCTTTAAAATCAAGTTGGAAAGTAAGCTTAGACAATTAACAACAATATGTGTAAACATGAAAATGTTATTTTTCAGATGAAAATAATCTTAAAAAATGAAACAAGTATAGAGAACTGGATTGTTACTAAAGTAAGTATTGTAGGGTTTGACAACAAATATTTTCATGATAACAATTTTAAAACTAATGATAAATTTTGTATAGCTAATTCTAGGGCTCATAAGTATTCCATGAATGTGATTAAAGCTTAAAACAGTAAAAAGAAACTACAAACTATGTATACAAGTGCACCTGAAAAGTAGAATAGATGAATTGAAAATAATGTGAGGCACGTATACAAAAATTATCAGTTTAAAACAAAATGTTGTGATAATGTGATTGTGAGACAACAGTTAAGTATAATAAGAGAAACTAGAGAAGAAAACAGAATAAAATTACAGTGAAATAAAATGAAAACATCGTAAAAAACAGTATATATGGAAATAAACTTGAGATGAGAAAATTTTAAAAATAAACTCTTACATTTAGCTCAAAAAGCAAAATAAATCAAAGAGCCTGGTGAATGTAGTATCCAAAAAGCTTTCACATTTGAACTGTTACATGAGATACACCAAGAAAAGGACTTGTAGCATAATAATATGATGTGTGACTAAATATACTTGCTTTCAAGTTATTTTTTTCTCTTATCTATCACTATGATGTTAGAGATATTTGGTTCATACTTCAAAGCTGATTTTCAATAAATATTGTGTCGTTAAGTTAATTTTAATTTACGTGACTGCAATGAATGAAAAGGTTTAGCATGTGTATAATTACATAAATTAATCTGTAGCCATTTTTATAATGACAAATGGAGTTTGCCCAGTGTAAAGTTATGCTCTTATATTCAGTCTTACTTATGATAGGCCTAGTATGGCTTGGTGGTTAGGGTGCTCAACTTGCACTCTGTGGGTCACAGGATGCTAAACATGCTCAACCTTTCAGCTGTGGAGGTATTATAATGTGATGATCAATCCTGCTTTTTGTTGGTAAAAATTAGCCCAAGAGTTGGTGGTGGGTGCTGTTAACTAGCTATATTCCCCTCTAGCCTGTCATTTCAAAATTAAGACAGTTAACACTGATAGCCCTCAAGTAGCTCTAAGTGAAAATTTAACAAACAAGCACTTTCCTATGACTAATGTTGAAGGAAATTAGCAAATGTGATGTTATTCTCATAGATTAATATTTTGCCTTTCCTGTAATTTTAATGAAAGGAAAGGGGGCTTGCTTATGCACATGGTTACAAAATTATGCTTTGAAACTAATTTTTAGCCTTTCCTTCAACATCATTACCCTAATTCTAATATAAAGTAACATAAATAAAATTGATGAAAATTACAATTCACCAACTAAATCCACTTCACACCTGTACAGTTGTTGTTCAGGCAATTTGCTAATATAAATATCATCTCAACCTTGACTATGTCTGTTATATCCCATCCATCCTGAAGAGCTCTTGTTGGCAGGTATGGTTTGGTTGATATATTGTCATACAGCACTTTTTCATCAGAAGTTCCTCTAATAATGAAGAAACTTAGCAATTTTGTAATGTGATAATCTGAAACTAATTTGTAGCCTTTATTGTAACTAATTGCTAAAGAGGATTCATCCATGTATAAAGTTATAAACAGGGCTAAAGTTGGACCCTAAAGTTTCTATTAAAAAAAAGAAAATTATTCCTAAAGTTTCTCTTTTTAAGGTATAAGTATTGTTTCCAGCACATTTTCTGTTGGCCAAACCCCATCCATAGTCAAAACTGAAAAATAATTCCAGAATATTGCTCATTGTTTTGAGATTACAATGTATGATACTCAATCATTTGTGTTTACTTGGTTAATGTGTTATAAATAAAAAGTTCTTCAGCTTTGGCCTTATGCAGATTTTTGGTGGTGATTTTTTCAAATCGTTAAAATGTTATATCATAAATTTTTACATAGTCCTTTTGTCCTTCACAAAGTTGCTTCTTTGGTTCCTAATTCTAGAGTTTTAGGTTCTTAAATTTTACACACTTTATTGCTGTGAGTACAGTGTAAAGTAATATATTGGGAGCTAATTTTCAATCTTTTGTCCAAGACCTGATTCAGTTTTTGGACTTGTACATTATTTAATAAAATATTTCCATATTTCCTTAAAATAAATATGAAGCTTTTTATTCCAGTCAAGAACATGGTACTGAACCCTTACTTCACATACCAAATTTCAAGGCGATTTATTTAAAAATACACGAAATATAAAATCTCCAATTTTGATTGAATTTCTTCCTATTTTTTTCTTTGCTCCAAAAGTACAGAAATGCATATTGATAGAAAAACATACTTTACCTTTAGGGATTTTTTGCAAATTTGGTACACTGATAGATCTTTACAACCTAAAATTAGGCATCAAATTTGGTCAAAAAATATGAGGCACATGCGATGTTATTCAACAAAAACCACTCAGTTTTGACCAAAGTTTTTGCACATGTGTACACTTAAAGTCACATGAACTATCAATCTGAAATTTTTCCTACAGCTTCACCTGAGATTAAAGGTGGTTTGAGCAGCAAAACTATAGAGTGAAAGCACATTCAGATACATAATCATTGATTAGGCCAAGCAAATTAGATTAGCAGTTTCTAGCTCAAGTTTTCAAAGGAATAATACAGGTGAACCTTTAAACACAGATTTGCTAAATTTTATGAAATTCTCCTAAGTAAAAAGCATTTAGCATAACATGATATTAGCCTAATCAATTAGCATAAATAATGATGCTTGATATAGCTGTACGGAGAGCATGTGGGTGATGACAAGAAACTGTTAATCTAGTTTCCATGGTGTTACTATGAAGGAAGTTATTAACTGTTTTAGAGAGGAAATACTATCACCCTATATTTTAAAGAACCTGGTTGGTTCTGTAAAGTATAGGTCTGTTCCAAATAATAGGGTTATAATCCTAAAGCTAATGTGGGTTACTATCAAGTGTCACTTTCTTAGTTTCTGTGTTTTTTTTGTTGCGTATTGACAAAAAAGTACATGATATGTAATCAAAAACACCTTAGGTGTGAAAAAAAGTTTGGCCCAAAAAAGGATTTAGCGTGCGACTTAAAGGAATGAAATCAAAATTGGTGACCAAACTGGTAGCTACACTTATAGCATTAATAAGAATTTGACAGCAAATATTCATTCATTAGTTAGCTAGGCTGTATATTTTGTTTCACCCACCATCATGCCCCAAACAGAATACAGGGTGCATGCGTATCCTTGAAATTGAGAAGGGAATTTCAAAGGCTTGAACAAATAAATGGGAATTTTATAAAATTTCAATGGAATCTGATTGATTTTGATGTAGATTTTAGCTTCCAAAAAGAACATTCTGAGTTTTTAGAAACTCCTTGAAAAGTGTTTGAAATTGATCTGAGCAATTCAGTATGAACCATGAGAATGGGATTTGTATTTAACTACTTATTCCTGTATTGTATTTTCTAGATAAATCTGAAAAAATGGGAGAGGGTGCACCAGAGTGCAAAAGAAAATTATGGTGGGAGGGGAGGAAAAGCCTAGCTGATTAGCTAGTCTTTAAACTTGGGGAGGCAATATGAAGTCTAGAAGGTGGGTTAGTACATGGTAGATCTTATGTATCATGTCATTAGGTGTAAAAGAGAATTTGATGGTTCCCTGAAGCACACTACATGTATTCACCTGAGCTAAATCCCTATTATTCATTTTTATGCCATCCTGTTATTTTCATGTTTAAATAGTATTTTTACTAAAGTTCAGGATCAATACTGTGATGGTGCATTTGCTTGAATTCCATAAATGCTTTCAAATATGTAACCATGATATTTGTGAAAATACTTTATTCTTTCATGTACTTTTTAAAGTGGGTTTTCTAGGGGCAGCTTTTTAGTTTGTGGAAAATCTCAACCTTGCATATAAGTAACTTTCTTCATAGATTTCACATATACTTGTGTTACAAAATAATCAGTATGAGTGTGGAAGATTGAATTGTTTTGCTGGATTGAAATTTAAAAAATGGCTATATTATGAAATTGGAAAGATGTTTTTTTTATTAAACTTTTTCTGATTTTTACAGGCATTGTCTCGTGCCAGGCCAGAAAAGCAAAAATTTATTTATCCATATAGTTTAGGATGGTGGCAAAACCTACAAGAAGTTTTTCCCTTACCAAAAGGTGATGGTTTGACTTGGCCAGTTGTTAAAGGCTGTAGTCAGTATACCTTAACTGTAAGTATGTAAGCACTTTCTTAACACTTTCCAGCCCAATGGCAAGTTTGCTGCCACCTCTGACCTCTCATAAGTCACCATATCTGAAACACAGACACTTCAAACACTTGGTACTATAATTATGGGACCTTTCAAAATAAAATTGTTTTTTGGTGAATTTCTGGTTTATAATACAATGAAAGCCACCACACAATATAGCTATTTACTGCACCATTACACATGAACCCCATAACTGTTCACCTGATACAGTACAAAACCTCCTCTCACATATATAGCTATTCTCATTCAGTGCTGCCCTCTATATGCACAACTTTTTCACATGCCACAAGCACTGAACTCCCACATACCCCACAATCAATGTGGTTCAACTGTGTCTCACATGTAAATCATCATGCGACAACCCTCCACCAATAGGAGTGAGACACACCCTCCTGGTGTATGTGACTCCTATTCAATTCTGCTGAAATATCACTTCTCGTTTGGCAGTGCTATCAACAAGATGTTTTTTGTTTGTGCTCTCATTCCTCAATTTTTTCTTTTTTAATTTTGTATGAAGTGGACGTATTTTCTATTTTTTTCCCTACTTTATTTTACCAGTTTTAAGTGATAACTTACCTTTATTGTTCTTCACCAATGTTTATGTTTCCATTTTGAAAATGTCATTTACTTCCAGCACAATTACTCAGGCTTTAGGTGGCAGTACTCATCTGAGGAATTGTTAACTTTAATACATGAGGGAAATTGATTGTTATATGAGTTGACCTTCATCAGGACTTGAGTTTGGTGCTCCACACATTTTGAATGTGGTCTGCTGACTTTGGACAGATAAGCTGTTATATTGTTATAGCTTTTGAATATCTTTGATATTAATATTATTATTTGCAGTTATTTGGTTTCAATAACATACTTTTAGTTAGGTTTGTACCTACTTGTACAGTTAGGGTTTTGAAATTAAAGTTTGATGATATCCTTTGTACAACAATGTTAGATTAGGCTTAACATATGTCTTTGTTATTTTATGCTTATTTGTCATTCATCTTACTAGTAAATCGTAAATTAGGTTAAATATATTGTTTCTTCAACAGATACCATCTACTACATTTTTTATTATCAATATACACTTACTTAATTTTAAAATATAACGACTTTTGAATTTTCGTAATTAATTATATTTTATACTTATTACAATTAATTTTGTTTGGGAGGAACCATGGGGCCAGAGTCTACCCAAACTTCTCCTCGTATTGCTTGCCTTCCTCCTCAAATTGTCGAAACTGTATATTTTGGCAATTTTCTTCCACTTGATTATGACTTGACCTCCCCAGCCCTCTACTGCAGAGTCTGCTAGGCCTATCTCAGTCCTTTTTATACGTTTCATTGCTTTTTTTGTTGTTGTTGTTGTTGTTTTTCCCTTTTATTTTCAGACATTTCGTTTCATGCTGGGCCTTTTTGTCTCTGTTTTGAGAGATAGTGCTGATATGCCTCAACCTCTATGGACTTTTGCTCATTTTGCCTTAGTTTACCATCAGGCAGTTTTGTTTTTTGTGTTTTCTAGCTTCTCTGCATTTAAAATATCTGTTGCCTGTATGGGGTGGCAGACCCTTTTAATCCTACTTCTTTATACCTAGCCAAGTTTTCCAGCCTTCTTCTTTCCCTGTCGCCTCTCCTACTGGTATTGTCTGCCATACACCTCCTTTCTGAGGCATTCCATGTATTTCCTGGAAATTTTAGTGAGATGCCTTTGGCTCTTTCCCTACACACATGACGTCTTTGCATTTCGGATCTTCTGGGGTGAGACACTGTCATGTATCAAGTTTGTTTCCCTTCCCCTTCTAATTGGGATTTATTGACAGCTCTTTTCCTCCTATCGTCCTTGTTTTCAGGGGAATGGTGTAACTCCTATGACTTTAGCATCACGTGTGGTATCTGTGTTGCTACATTCTATTTCTTCTTTTTTGTTTGCTCCTTTGTCTCTATAGCCATTGCAAGTTCTTTATTCATGTTCCATGTCTGAAACCTTCCCGTCATTTACCTGTCCCACATCTAAGTGTTCTTCCATTAGTTGTGTATTCTTGATGCAGATTGCAGTTCTGTGTTTGATCTGTACCACCTCAATCACTTGTTGATTCTTTCACATTTTAGTTTGTTGTCTTTTATCTCATCAAGGTAGGCCATTTCTCCAGGACTGGGGATGCTCACAGTCGACTTTTTGTGTTATAATGCACACTTTCCTGTTTTTCATCCCTCGTTGTGCTGTCTTAGGTTTGTTCACCACAGGGTTGGGTACCAGTTTTGCACCTTGCCTTTCATCTGTGTTTTAGATCTGTATGTTTTTTGTCTCCATTTCCTCATCCACTTGCTTTGGCTGTTGATGCATTCAGAGAGAATTCAGACCAGTTTATACCTTTATCTTATCCCACTTGTCTCCTTCTCTGAGTGATTTTGTTCATCCTTGCCACTCTGTGTTAGGTCTTTCTGATTGCTCCTTCCTGGCTGACACAGATTTGGTTTTTTCTTGCTGCTTCAACTCAATCCATTCTTTTTACCCTGAGGTTGGCTCCTGTCTGATTGTTTTTGAGTGGGATATTCCACAATACAGGGACATCTTTATTATTCCAATCATCCAGATGTTGGGTTCCTGAATCAGTCAAACATTTTATCACTTTGCTATTATGTGTCCTGTTCACAGATCGTTGAGTATGGTATTTCCCTCTGGTCTGCTGAACTTGAGGTGAAGACAGTATGATCCTCTTTCCCACCCCCACATGGATATCAGTTCCTGGTGGCTAGGTTTTGGATTGTAGTTGACTTTCTGATGGTATGATCCTCATCCTACGTCCACATGGGTATCTGGGTTTTGTATGCAGCTGACTTGCAATGTATGGTCTGTTGCACTCTATACATTGGGCCACATCCTTTTTACTCTCACCCACATTACTGTGTTCTATGGGATTGAGATTGAGATATTGGGTGGATTCGGAGCCCTGTCCAACCATTGTTTTCTCCCTTTTTCCGCCCACGTCTATGTCACGTCTTTCTACACTGAGCGTGGGGTATACCTGGTTCAGAAGTGGTGTTGTCTCTCACATATGATCCTCAACTTTTAAGGTGTTCTTAGGATTGTTCTTTCTTTCCCTCACACCAGTCCCTTCACCTATTCAGTGTGGGATTATAGGTATTTATGTGAGAAAAGGTAATGTACCATATTGGAAGTTATAATTTTTCTATACTGAAAATGTATTTCCGATTGGTACTTACCTCCTTTCACACTTCTCACTCTTCCTCCCCACTGAAAACCAGTGCTTACATTTTCAGCCAAAACTCAAAGTGATAGTTTGGTAGAATTGAATAGAGAGAGTCACATACATCAGGAAAATGTGTCACACTCCTATTGGTGGAAGACTGTCACATGATGATTTACATGCGAGACAAAGTTGAAACACTTTGGTCCTGGGGGTATGTAGGAGCTCAAGGCTTGTGGCATGCAAAAAAATTTTTACATATAGAGGTCACCACTGAATGAGAATAGCTATCTATGTGAGAGGATGTAAGCACCTACTGGAAATACATTTTCAGTATAGGAAAAGTAGAACTTGCATACATTTACTATAGTAGGTCTAGTTAATCCAGGCCCTCACCACTGCCTAAACTAGGACTAGACAGTGGTGAGGATCATGATAAACTAAATGCAAAAAGAGTAAGAGGCAGAGAAAGGTTTAGCATAGGAAATGAGTATGTTAGTAATCATAAGGGTAGGCTTAATTGTTACTGTTGTAATGCTAGAAGTATAAGAAATAAAGTAGATGACTTTAGAACACTGGTAGGAATGGAGGAGTTTGATATAATGCGAATTACTGAAAATTTCAGGCATATAGATTGGGAAATGCTAGAGTCAAACCGTGAAACTTGGTTAAACGTAGATGATTTTGGTGACCGAAATTTCTTTGAAATACAGGATTACAGGCTATTTAGATAATAGCAAGGAGATTGAATCCATTTGGGTTTCTATTAGTGGATATAAAGGGAAAAGGCTTTTAGTGGGGATTTTTTACAGACAACCAAATGATACTGATGAAATTAAGATTTCAGCTGATAATGAAGTCATAATTATGAATGATTGTAATTTCAGGCATATAGATTGGGAAATGCTAGAGTCAAAACGTGAGGTAGAAAGATTTTTGGAAACTGTTAAGATGGCTTTCTTCACCAATTAGTCAAGGAACCTACTAAAAATAATGCTATTTTAGATTTATTGTTAACTTTAAATATAGAATTGATTGAGAGGGTGGAAATTGCGGAACATCTGGATGCAAGTGATCATTGCTCTATTAGGTTCAATGTTTTGCTGCATATGGAGATAAGGAATAATTATATTTTGGTTACAAATTTCAAAAAGCAAATTTTTAAGGGATGTGACAAGAATTACCAATTGAGCAGCTGAGTTATTTGGAGACTGATCAAATGTGAAAAAAGTTTAAAGATAAATTTTTAAATATTCAAGGTAAACATATTCCTTTTAGAAAGAAAAGGGTAGCTGCAAATAAAAATTAGGTTGCCTCTCAAAGAATATCACAGATAAAACTAAGGAAAAGCATAATAAATTCAAGAAATTTAAATTGACCGGTATGACAGGAGATTTCCAAGATTATAGAAGATCAAGAAAGTTGGTGAAACAGGAAATTAAGACATCAAAAAGGATGTATGAGAAAAGTTTGGCTGAAGATATTAAAATTAACAATAAGGATTTCTTTTAAATACATTAAGGGTTAACAAAATGTTAGGATGGGGGTAGGACCATTTATGGATGATAAAAGAAGGCTCGTATATGATGATTATGAGATGGCTGGGTTATTAAATTTTGCTTTTTTCTTCAGTTTTTACTAACAAAGATTTATACAGTATTCCACATCTCGAACAGTTAATAGATGGAAACAAGATCAAACAACATGATTGCATTAATTCTGAGCTCATTAAGAAAAAATTGGGAAGTTTAAAGAACAATAATATTTCCCTTATAGTTTTCAAGGAGGTTAAGGACTGTATATGTGAGCCATTTGCTCTATTTAATTTGTAAGTCCTTGAATAGTAGACAGGTACCAGAGGATTGAAAATTAGCTAATGTCACTTATCTTTTTAAGGGAGGTGATAAAAATTGTCCCAGTAATTATCAGCTGTAGGAAAAGTTTTGGAAAGTCTGACAAAAGATGCTTTACTAAGTCATTTAATAAAGTTTAGAATTTTATAGGATAGTCAATATGGTTTCACTAGGGGAAAATCTTGCCTTAAATATCTTTGTATGTTCTTTGAAAAGGTTACTGCTTATGTAGATTAGGGTAAGTGTGTAGATTTAATGTATATGGATTTTCAGAAAGCATTTGACAAGGTGTCACATAAAAGGCATATAAAAAATGTGTGGGGAATAAGTTAGGAAATTGGGAGAAAGCAGAGGATTGTTACAAATGGAGTTTAATCAAACTGGATTAATGTTACAAGTGGAGTACCTCAGGGCTCAGTCTTATGACCTTTGCTCTTTTTGATATACATCAATGACACAGATGGAGGAATGGTCAATAAATTACTTAAATTTGCAGATGATATTAATGTCTTGGGTATTGCTAGCTGTGAAGAGGGTGCTGCTGCTTTACAAATAAATGGCAAATGGGTTTTAATTATAATAAATGTAAGCTAATGCATGTGGGTTATAATTTGGATGGAAATAACCTTAATAGTGTCATGAAAGAAAGGGATCTTGGTGTAATAGTTGATCAGTCTCTTAAGCCATCCAAGCAGTGTGCTGTTGCTAGTGGTAGGTCAAATAGGATTTTAGGTTGTATCCACAGAAATATTGAATACAAGTGTAAAGAGGTTATAATTTCATGGTGTAGGTCACTGTTTTGGCTAAATTTGGAGTATTGTGTTCAGTCTTGGGCTCCTTACTTTAGGAAGGACACTGAATTGTTCGAAAGGGTTCAGAGTTAAGTTACTAGAATGGTGCCTAGGATGGAGGGGTTGTCATAAGAGAAGAGGCTGAAATCTCTCAAATTGTTTTCTTTTGAAAAAAGAAGAGTTAGAGGGGATATGATTGAGGTGTTTCATATTGTAAAAGGAATTGGTAGTGTTAATGCATCATCTTTTTTCATACTTAACAGTGAGAATAGTAGGACAAGGGGACACAAATATAAATTTTTGGCAGGGTAGGAGTCATCT